ACTTCTATTGCCAGCACTACCACTGGCTCCCTGCGTGCCCTGGAGTAAGTCATTGAACCTCTGTGCCTCAGTAATTCCAAAGGTAAAATAGGAATAACTCTGACCCTCACTTCACAAGGCACTTTGAGATCATTGCAGATCTGATAAAAAATATAAGTCATTATCTGTCATGCTATATGCATTTAACACCCATCTATTCACTTGCTATTGTGGTACTTTCCCTCTTTGCATGCTGGCTGTAGGCCAGCCCATTGAAGCATATTAATCCATCCTGCACTTCCCCATCACTTATTTTGCCATGTGCCCTACAAATCAGCTGCATGTTTACATGGTGCTTTACAAAGCAGCATAGACTATGGCATTGTATCATAGAATATCAGAGTTGGAAGGGACCTCAAGAGGTCATCTAGTCCAACCCCCTGCTCAAAGCAGGACCAATACCCAAATCCCTAAATGGCCCCCTCAAGGATTGAACTCACAACCCCGGGTTTAGCAGGCCAATGCACAAACCACTGAACTATCCCTCCCCCCTCTGCCCCAAAGAGTTTACAACATATACAAGCAGAATAGGAAATCTGCGAGGGTGTGGAGAGGTCTTTGGGTTATGAGAAGGCAGGAAGGATTTATGGGGAAAGTGCATTTTAAGGAGGAGAGAAAGAGCTAGAAGACAAGAGGGAGAAGATGGTTTCAAACATGCGGGCAGTCTGAAAGAAGGTGCAAAGCTCAGAGGGAAGGAGGGGAAGGAGTAGTAGAGACAAATCATTTGCAGGACTATAGGATGAAAAGCATTCCTAGGCAAAGGCCTTTCCTACCATCAGAGCTATATACCTCAAAGTATCATTTCAAGTCTTTAAAAAAGGAAGGTCACATTTCTTTATTTATTACCAGTATTAAAACACATGACAGTTTGCCTTTAACCTCCTAGCCTAGTTGCAAATGACTGACTCAAGAATTGTTGAAATTAGTTTTAAATTACAATTACTTGTGAAACACAAAGCCACTGTCCTTGCCTCTCTGCTGACAAAGGACAGTGGAGGAGAGATTGGAATATTTAAAATGATTTTAATGTGTTTGTTTGCTACAATGTGTATTGCAAATATTTTACATTTATATCACACATTTCACCCCGAAGGATCCGAAAGTGCTTGAAATGTTACATAACATTCAGTCTTCAGGAAATTTTCACCACAAAAACTTTATTGGCATCAGTCTGTTCATTTCCTTTTTCCCTGTATACCCTTGAGCTAAATCTAATTTATTTGTATAATTATACACACACATACAAATAAAATTATGTTAAAAGAACATTATTGAGGTTGCAAAGTCAAATACTCAAAACATAGGAAATGTCAGACTTACAGTTCCCCATGCAAGCTTAATTCACCTTGTGCATATGCATTTGGTCCAGTCCTTAATTACATGACCACAGACTATTTTTTCCAAAGATACCTGCCTCATTTAGTGCACAGGCTGGACTGTGCTCATTTGATGAATAGCCATTCAATAGCTTGTTTACTCCTCACTGATCAGTATGTGGTTCCATGCATTAATTACTGTACTGCTCTGAAAATAAAATTATTAATTTTCTCATGAGCTTTTCTAGGACATTCATCACTATCATATGAGTGCTTCATGAATATTAATGAATTAATTTTCACAACATCCCTGTGAGGTGCGGGGAATATTATTATCCCCATTTTACAGATGGAGAATTCAGGTATGGAGATGAAGGACAAAAAGTATGTGCTAATTTTGGGTGCCAAATCTGAGGTGCCCAGGGCCTGATTTTTCCAAGAACTTAACATTATATAGCACTTCACATGTTCAAACCACAGCTCCCAATGATTTCAGTTGCAGCTGTGAGTGCTCAGCACGTCTGCAAATCAGACCTCAGGGTCTCAAGGCAGATAGACAGAAAATGAGGCACATCCAATTAGTGACCACCTGTGAAAAGTTTGGTTTAATTAGCTTACCTAGTATTGCATAGAAACTCTGTGGCAAAGGCAGGGATATAAACCAATTATCCAGGGTAGCATTCAACTGCATTAACCCTAAAACCATCCATTGTCTTCCTGCAATCCCCTGCTTCATTCACTGTGTACCTTCCAACCTCTGCAGTAAGTAAAGCAGAGGTCCTCAAGGCAACGGTCTTCATGACACAACCCTGATGCATCCCTGGAGCAGATCCACCCTGTTCACTGAAGAAGGCAGAGATTTTGTGGGGGGAAAATAGTTCGCTATGTAATTAAAAACTGTGTCATAATGCATGTATACAAGGGGGCTGAATTAAAGTTGCACATAAACTTTAATTTTGGCATTTTTTAACTTGAGTTTTGACTTTGCAATCTTAATAATGTTCTTTTTACAGGTTTGTGTGTGTGTGTAATTATCTAGGTTTTTTGGAAAAAGCAAACTGAAAAAGCACAATTCCATCATGTGACATCATATTGACAGCCACATAATTCATCAAGTAGGGCTGGAACCTTGGAAACCATCAAACAGCTTGAGCTAACGGAGTAACATAGCAGTAGTAGGTTATCATCCTCTATGTGAACCCAGCACTAGACAGGGATGCGGCATACACATTGTCAGTGGGTTTCACAGATATTTGCTGACAGCAAAGGAATGGTGAGACTGAAGGGATGTTCTTAACTGGGCACAGACTTCTGCCCAGTCCATCCCAAGCTTGATTCTGCTCAGAACCCTCCAACCTGTCCCAGATCATCAGTGCTCTTGGCTCCTTGTCCCAGTCCCATTCTCCTCACCTAGCCAGCACCAGTCTCCATTCCTCAGGTTTCTCATCTCAATTCTTGTCATTCCCAGTCTCTCCCCCTTGCACTCACCAAACCAGTCCCAGTCACCTCGACTCCCAGTCTCCTTGCCCAGCTATCACGAGTTACACCCCCCTAATTCCCAAGTCCTTGTTCCCAGTTTTCTTGCCCAGCCAGTCCCAGTTCCTCCTCTCCTGTCTCTCTCTCTCTCTCTCTCCCCTCCCCTCCCCCTGGCCTCCATTCACATGCACACACACCCAGACTCCCAATCTCAATTTCCCTGGGCTCCTCATCCACTGTGTCCTCCCCCACGCTCATCATCCCAGTCTCTTTTCCCAGACAGTCCTGGTTCTCCCTCTGGACACTGGCTCATCAGATCTGTCTCCCCTCCCCTTCCCCTAACCTCTGTTGTAATAATTGGGCCTACAAATTTACCCTGATGGTGAGCTTAGTTGTAAAAAGTATGTGAAAGTTCATACAATGTTACAATAAGTTACAGTAACAAATGTTAATGGAAAATAGGTCAAGTTGTTTTCAATAATTAATGTTATAAACAGGTGCAAGAGAACCAGACAGGGAGACTAAATTAATCCAGACAAAAAAGGCCATGCTGCTGTCATTCAAGGACTATGTGGAAATCATTCTTGGTAAAAACAGAAAAGGAGAACCAGAAATTACTGAAACAGAATTGGTGCGCCTAATTGGTAGACAAAATAATGAGGGGATGGGCTATTCCACCCATCATTCCCTTTTTGGGTCCTTAAAGAGAGAGACTGGGGGGGTGGGGGGGAGGAAGGACAGAAGAACAGACGGAGGCTACTGAAGTGAGCTTCACCATCATGGCTGCCGCCCCCACTGTTTCCTGGGATCTGGACCTTGGTAATCCTGATCCTGATAGATATACTGACCAGAGCAGGACCCGGATGACATGGCCACCTCTAGCAGCTCCTGCTGAATCCCAACCACCACCTGAGATGAAGTTGGATTGGACTGTAACATCAGCCACAACGATAGCTCCAGCTCGTCTCAACTAAGGGACTGTCAAATGAGGACTTTTTTCCTTCTTAAAACTCTCCAGGTAAAGGGAACAAGGAATGTTGTTAAAATGAAGGCCTTATTTTATACTGTAGATTTTAAATGTTTTAATGGTTTTTCCTCCTTTTCTGCATCTTTAATAAAAGGTTAAACTGATTTTTAATGGTGTTTGCGCCATGGTACTAAGCAGGCTGAGATCTCCAAACCTTGTTTAACATTGGATCATGCTAAACCTTTGTCTGCTACACTGAAGAGGCCAATATCAAATATCTGTTTCCCATGTAGCTACTTACAGACTGTGATCAAGACACCACTTTACTTTGTTAAACTAAACAGATTGAGCTTCTTGAGTCTATTACTATAGGCAGGTTTTCTAATCCTTTAATCATTTTCATAACTCTTTTCTGAACCCTCTCCAATTTATCAACATCCTTCTTAATTGTTGTACCAGAACTGGACATAGTATTCTAGCAGCAGGTCACACCAGTGACCAATAAAGAGGTAAAATAACTTCTCCACTACTTAAGATTCCCCAATTTATGCATCCGAGGACCACATTCGCCCTTTTGGCTACTGTATCACACTGGGAGTTCATGTTCAGCTGATTATCCACCATGATCCCAAATCTTTTTCACAGTCACTGCTTCACAGGATCTCTAGAAAAGTCCTCTCTCTAACAGGGCTGGAGGAGTGTGCCCTTCGGTTTTCTGTATTGTTCTTACCTCTAGATTAGCAGAGGCCTTTATTTTGCAGGGCTATCAAACTAGCTCTCACCAGCATATTAACTAAAGAAACATTACATGTTTTTAAATTAATCTTAAAATATTTTAACAGATTAATATTTGTTAATCTATCCTGTATTCATTCCCCCTGCCCACACACATTGCTTTCATATATTTTAGTTACATTTTGTTGGAATAACAGAAATTTTAAATGCATTTCCGTCTTGCATTTGCACCTTGTCTACATCTACCCAAGACAAAGGGTCTGCTATTTTTCAATTCTGTTCTTACTGATGCTTATTTTGTTCCTACTGATTTTAATGGGATAGGCTTCAGCTATTTAAAGATTATCAGTAACCTCATATAAGAAACCATGAACGCAACTGCACAAACCACATAAGGATTGATTTTTTTTTTTAAAATATCTCATCAATAAAACAGAAGCTGAAAAAATACTGGAAATATAAAAGGGTTTAGATTAAAATTTTTATTATTTATACAAAACCAAAATAAATCAATGCAAACTGATAATGGATTGAATGTATCATCTCATGTCCCAGCCTGTCTTCTTTTTTCAACAATTCAATCTACAGTTCAATTTTAGATTATTCCATCTTCACTGAAAACTATGAGGTCTCCATCTTGTATCCATGTTTTTCTAGTTCAGCTCTGTATAAAAATAAGAACCAGAAGTATGATTGAGGCACAATAAAATACTGTCAGATATTTGCAAAGCTCTTTAAACCATGACAAATGTTAATCAAGAACCTAAATATTATCTGGTAAGAAAACATTAAATACTAATATGCTACTGTCACTTTTGATACAAAAGGACAAATAAAAAGAGTAATAATTCACATTTGGCCTCACTTCCTTTACATTCCTTCTAGATTTCAGTTTAGTCACTCTTTTCAACATGGATATGAAACCCAGATAAAAATTCAAAGGCTTGTTTAATTATGGTCCTCACTCCTTATTGATTAAATCAGGGAAGTGCTTTCTTTCACCCCATTTTTAAGTCTATAAAACTTCATTAGAAGTGATAATGCAGTACATGAGTTACCCATGTGAAACCTTTCACCAGACTTCCTTATGCACAATTAACTGTTACTAGAACAGATTTTTTTTAAATTATTTATTTATTTTAAAAGAAGGCCAACCATCTAGGAACAAAGCTAAAATTATTTTTGCAAAGCAAAAACTTAACAAGTTTTGAAACTGTGTTCTCAGTATAGCATCTTTGATTCCTAATATATAAAAGGTCCTTAATCTTGTATGTAGTCCCACTGACTTCAATAGGATTATACATGATTAAAATTAGGTGTGTGTTTATACTCTGAATCAGAGCCCAAATGAACACAAGTTCTGATTCTGCAGTTCTTAAACAGGCATAACTTCCACCCAATTTGTTTTGACTGATGAATAATTGTGATAGTTTAGATAAGGAGATTATCTGAATACACAGAATGAATCACTCAATCTTTGTTGACCCAAACCAGGAGCAAGGATGGATTTTCATTACTAAAATGTAAGATTTATTTTTAGGACACTCAAGTCAGTTGTATTTCAGGATGGCTTAAACATAACAGGGAAGTCAGTGGATTGTGGTAGAGGAATGCTGTTCCAACCTCAGACTGGAGTCTTTAATTTAAATACAGAGATGAGGACAGATTATGAATACTTTACTATAAGATGTAATTAAGGTGTAGTTTTCACAGTCCAAAGTGTCATGTATTGAACTTCTCATACAGAAATTTCTGCCACACTTTGAGGATTCCTGTAATACTGTTGACACACACTGTCTTTAGAGTGGTAATATATTTAAGACCTTCAATTAACTTGAAACTACTTTTCAACTTGACAATAAGCAATTACACAAACAGGATTTACACTGACACCCACTACCTGAGGGTCACCTTAACCTTGTGTCTAAAACAAGGGAGTCAGTCTACTAACTGTTTCAAATCAGGCTACATTACAGATATTTTGTTGTGTGTACAATGTATGGAGGGATTAGTGATAAAGCACAAGTTTGTATTGATGATTCAAACTCCTTAAATTATAATTAGGCATCAGTAAAAGATTAACTGAAACTAGGTGACCTACAGAAAGGAGGGTTAAACAACTGGATTAGAAGTGCTCAGCTCCTGCCCATAGATATTTTTATATTTTAAAATTTTACTTCGGTAATTTTCCCCCCTATAATAAAGTCTATGACTGCCAGTAGAACTAGCCGAGAATTGCTTCACTTAATGGCTCTTTGCTAGAAGACAACTCCTCATTACAAGGAAACTTTTTGTGGGAACATCTCAGTATTGACAAGTCTTTTGTCTAGAAAGGTTTCTCAATTCAGGATGGAAAGTTTTTGAAATCCTGTAAAATTTTACAGGATGAGAAAGCTGTTTCCTGCCCCACTCTAATCATCACACACACACTGAGACGTAACTGAGGGTTATTTCAGTGTTTATAGAATTGACACTAAAGTACAGAGGCTGGTCACCAGTAGTAAGGCTTGTTGGGTTATGACAGCAAATGCTGCTTTTAAAAAACTCTTTGGGGCAGTTAAGTAGAGATTTGCTCACTTTTTTTTTCAAAAATATTTTTTTTTAAACTGAACATTTTTTAAAGTCACAGATTCCACCCAACTAAAAACTACAGACTGAAAGTTTTATGTTCAACTTCTAACTGTAAATTAAACTCCAAGATTACCTTAACTGATTGGAGAAGTCATCTTCTACATTGTCATCATCCCAATTGTCTTCCCAGACATGTGCATCCTCATCTTCATCTAAACCAGCCCAGTCTAAGGACAGAAAACAGACAAAGTCTAAATATTTTATGTTGTACTGCTTTGGTAACATTTACTGTCAGCAAATAGGTCTGGCCATTAGATACACAAAATGTCATCAATACCAAACATTTCCTCTGTTTATAAAAAAAAGTTCTGATCACATTAAAAGTGTTTAGAAGAATGAAATCATTACAAGATGCTATTTAACACCCTAACTTCTTGAATTATAATCAAAATACAACTTTATAAATAGCTATAAGATTAATGTTTTGGATTCCAGGATTATTTGTCCATAATGAGAATATTAATTAAAAAAGATCACTCATAGAAGATCTGTAACAATATAGCACAAATATAGAAGGTAACATGTTACCTGGTTTCCATTAATATGTCTAAAGACTTTTAGAAAGTCTGCAATTCCTCAGGGTTGCATGAAAATATTAACTTTAAATGTTGAGTGCTTTTATTGCCAAGAAAACTCAAAAAAACTCCTTTACTCAATCCACTTAGACCTTCCATTTCTTCTTATACAAAATACTGAAATTACAAGTAACTTATGTAGTAGAAAATCTGAAACTAAAACAAGAAGGGTATGCAACTATAGTTAATACAATAAGTAGCTTCACATTATTTTTCATCCTTCCCCTCACCTTTAAAGCTACCAGTTCTATTTTTCATATAGGCAAAATTTTGTGTTATTCTACAGCTGCAGAAGTAAAGATAACCAGAAAAGTAAATTGCAAGCTTTGCCCAGTATTGCAACATTGATGATAGGCAGAAGTGTCACCTAGTCTTGCACTTGGAAACTGGTTTTGGTCCTCTTATTAATACAGAAAAGTAGCAAAGCACTGCATGTGAAGCAAGTTCTCCTGGAGCACCAAAAAGGCTCATGGTAGGGAATATATTTTTGGTATTTGGCGCCCATGGTACAGATTTATAAGATTACCTGGCTATATTAGTTTTAAAAATATTAAATTTGAGAACATTGCAGTGCTCCTCCCCAACCTGCAAATGGTTTTGAATGGTGTTGCGTCCCACCATAATTTACAATCAGCTTTCTAACCAACCCAGAAAAACCAAAGCTTTCCAGCAACCACTACAGTAGCATTGTACATATAAGTCAACAAAAGGAAACTGACAGTGGGAGGGTCACAAACAGATCCAGGTGGGTTGCAATCACCCTTCCTCTCTTTATGAGTATAGGGAAAAGAGAGGTCCTGAAACTTTTTCCTATTGTAATATGGTCACAGTATGGAAAAATTTGAGAACCACAGGAATAGAAGCATCCATTCTTAGCCAGCCACACGTGTAAAGAATTTGATGCCGAAGATAAGCGACTAAGATTTAGCTTCACAATCCACAGAATGGATCATTTATATGTGGAAGGGCTGGGCTGGAGACCCCGCAGAAACTAGAGAAAGAAAAAAAGGGGTGGGAAGAGAAGAGACAAACCCCTTGAGGCAAGGACCAGCTTTATACTGTATTTGTACAGTGCCTAGTACAATGCAGTCCTGGTCCATTAATAGGGCTCCTAGGGGCTATGGTAATACTACTACTACTAATAATAATGCAAAATAAATAACTAATTACTCTATTGTCTTTTTCACTAGGATAATCACATTCAATTCACAAACAATGAAACTGAGTTACAAGGGAGGAAAGGGCCTTAATTCAGCACTACTTACAATAAACTTAATTTTTATTTACACACAGTGCATTTAAGATTTAAATTTAATGTTCTTACAAAGACTATAAAATAGTATTATATCAACTATTTCATTTACTGTATTTATATTTCAGACATACACATTCCACAACAAATAAAAATGTGCTTTTGTAGGGTAAAAATTGACCCAGAATTCAGGCATTACATTAATTGGTGACAAGAGTCTCAAATGATTTTAGATGATACAATCAGGCACAATGGCTCTGAGAGGTTCAACCATAAAAGGATAGTTGTCAGGCAGACTGACACTTCTTTACTCATGAAAACCTGCATCATGCTTCAAGAAGCGGGGCTAAGATGTCTTCCACATTAAAGTGGGTGAAAAACAAATGAAAGTGATAAAAAAAAAAGCCTAAATTATGCTCTTATTCCTGTAGCTACAAGACTTTAAACTATTTGTATGTTGACACTATATACTAGGCTTGTGTATTGAAGTTATTATTCCAGTTACATTATATGCCTGTGACTGGATAAAAGTAAAAAATGATATAGCATTATCTGGGATTTGGAAGTATCAAAAATGTTTTTGAGAGTCGACTACCATTAAGTATTATTACTATAAACTAAAGTTACAAAATCTATTTTGACAAACTAGTCGTGATGGGAGTCTTAGAAAAGTATTTTAATATTCTGATCACTGCGTGGTGTGTTCTACACTTCAAAGATGAAGACAAAATAGGTTTTTGTACTCAGCTCTACAATACCAAAAGCCATACGATTTTATACCTCTGAAAAGGATCACAGAAGTCAAAAGTGACCAATTCACATTATACCATACATCATATCATACTAAACTTGAAATGAAACACTCTAGAACACATCTGTTTCAGATACTTAAAAATTTGGTATAATTATTTCTTGAAACTGAGTTGAAGTAGGAATTAAAGAAGTAAAGAATGCTTGTGTAATGTAATTTTTGTTATGCTTTAACACAAGTTTGCATTACCTAATTTCCCTGTATCAGACGTAACAGAACTCTAACATGTACTGCTGCATAGAGAAGTAGTATAACTTGGAAGATTCACAGTTTGAGATAATTTTAGTAAAAGTTTTTATAATCAAATATTTATCCAATTATTTTTGATTAAGCAATAAAAAGAAAATACTCAAATAGTAGTTCTGAATATTCTTTATGATATGATCTTACTAGAAGGTTTAATGACTGCTTTATAGGTTGGGTTTTTTTTGTAAGCTACATCAAGAAGCCTTTAATGCTTAATCAGCAGACACATATAATATAAAGAATGATTTTTAAAAATATTTCAATAGTTAACATCTACATCAAACTTCAATTACAAACTGAAGGAGAGTCTGGAGTTACTTTTTTGATAAAAATATTAATGTCCCGTATGAAACATTTTCAGAATTTCTTAAAACTTAGGATGTTTAACAAATAGTATATCCACATTCAGTAAGAGGATTTCACCTCATTTGGTTTATAGGTATATTACCATAATCTAAGAAGGTCAATGCAGTGCCCAAAAACCCACCCTCATTCTGACATTTGTGATGTTTTGATTTTTCCATTATATAGTTTTCTCAAATTTATCAGAGCCAGGTTCTGCTATCTGTTTTTTTTTCTACTGTGGCAGTTAAAGAAGATTTCAAGGAAGGTCAGTTGAGGTTATTGCAGAGATATAGGAAAACTCAAGTATTCAGAAAGGTCCACCAAATCCTAGTTTTCTCCGTGTGAGAGTGTGGTTTGAGATTTTTAGAAATAAAATCTGAAACATTCATTTTTAGTGGCCATATTTGTCCAGTTCAATATTTATAGTGCATAGATTCCCCACCATCCCGAGTCATTTAATTCACATTTAACAGGGGAGGGAGAGATCAAGTAGTAAGAAGCCTTTTTCCCTCCCAGATGTTTTCTCTAAACAAGCCTCCTATTATCTTCTCAGTTCATCTAACCAGTTAATACAACAATTACAATAACATGTTTCTCTTTCTAACTGGAAATACTATATTTGACAAAGCTTATTTTATACATCTGTAACTCATAAAGCTATGTCAAGTACGAGGAAGATAAGATACCATAGCAAATACTGTGAACATCCCTACCCACCATGATCTATACCAGCGGTTCTTAATTTTTAGTAACCTGAGGGCCCCCATTTTTTTTTTAAAAATTGTGGACCCCCAACCCCCCTGCTCAGCTCTTGGCCTTGCCCTCACTCTACCCCACCCCTGCCCCACTTCTTCCAGCCCCACCCTTGCCCCTCCTCTTCCCCGCCCCCTCCTCCGAGCGCACCCTGTCTCTGTGTCCCTGAACTAATCTGTTTCATGTTGCGCACCCCATCCCCACTCCTCCCCCTCTCAGTGCCTCCTGCATGCCACTGAACAGCTGTTCCCTGGCATGCAGGAGGCACTGGGAAGGAGAGGGAGGAGTTGATCAGCGGGGCCAGTGGCCCCGGACATGATTACACCCTGTCCCCTGAGAGCGCCCCATCCCCGCTCCTCCCCCTCCCTCCCAGTGCCTCCTGCATGCC